ATAGGCTCCCCCTCCCCCATTTTATCTCTGTCCTACATAGCCAATCCTCCCTCTGCAGAAAAGGGTCAGGAGGTATCTCACATCATATTACAGAAGGAAAATAATCTTCAATGCCCCCCCCCCCAAATAAAGACAAAGAAACTGAGCAGGAAAATAAGTTCTAGTCCTATTGCAGTGACGTTCACTCCAATGTTCCCATCTTTGTGGGTCCCACAGGTTCAGAGGAGGAGAGGGAACAGAGGGAGAGGAGGGCCAAAGGAGGACTTGATATTTAAATCATCTTGCCAGAAACTCTAGAAATTCTGGGAACTCTGGTGTTGTTGCTGTTTCTGCAGAGCCTCCAGTGGGGAAGGTGACCCATAAAGTGGAGGATGAGAGGCTGGAGGTCCTCACCTGCCAGGCCTTTGGCTTCTACCCCAAGGAGATCCAGGCCACCTGGACCAGGGATGGAGAGGCCTGCAAGTATGAGACCCTCCTTAGGAACGTGGCCCCCAACTCAGACGGGACCTATTATGTCCAGCTCAGCATTGAGATCGACCCCAAGGAGAGGGGCCGTTTTCGGTGTCACCTGGAGCACGAGGGCTTGCAGGAGCCCCTGGACTTAGCTTTCAAGGAGGAAAGAGGTGAGAGGCTGAGAGGGTAGAAGTAGATTTTAGAGAAATGTTTGAAAATCTGTGGGGGGAGGGGGTAGTTTTCTTCTGCAACATCTCATGTTTTCAGATGGAGAGCAGGAAAGGTCCTGCATTTAGCAATGGGAGAGAAGTGGTTTCTGTCAGAAGAGTTGGAAATGGTAATTTAATAGCAACAGTATGAACATATGTGGGGTGATTGGTTGTGGCTCCTCCTTCTGCCCTTCAAAGCCATTAGCTCCGCCCTCTTTAGCCTTGGAGGGGAGGGGCTTCCTTCAGGTGGGGGCACTTCCTGGAGGCCAATGAAGGTTGGGAAATGCTTCCACTGTTCAGCATCTCCACTTCAGGGAACTCTGGATCTGTCTAATGATCGGAACCATCTTTCTCCTTCTTTATCTCCAGGGTGGCTGATTCCTGTGGTAATTGTAGCAGGCTTACTCCTAGTAGTTGGGATTCCCTTCCTGATATGTAAGTGAAACAAACACACCCTCCAACACCCACCCCTGGGTCCTTCTGTGTTGACTGAGCTGGTGTGGATGGGAGAAAGGCTCTCTGAGGGTTGCAGCCAGGACCCCCATGAGACCCTCCCCCACAAACAGCATTTAGAACATGGGCCAGAAAGGAAGAAGAAACTGTGCAGCTATTATTCCACTTCCTGCAAAACTCAATATATTCCTGTTCTCTGGGAGGGAAACTCTTTGGCCTCAATGCACCTCCTTCAGAGGAGCAAATATCAGCAGCTCAGGAGTCCAAGGAAAATTCCCTTAAATGTTCTGGGAAGAGCTGGAAAACCCATAATGCTGTCCCTGAAGGAGATCTATTTGCCACCTGGCAAAGGGAAGCTCTGATGGAAGGGGAGGTCCATGGAGGGAAAACCTGAGGACAGGCAGGAGCAGGGAGGAAGGTCCAGCGGGGGAAGCTCCTCCTCCTCCTCCTTCTCCTCCTCCTCCTGCTCCTGCTCCTCCTGCTCCTTCTGCTCCTACTCAGAGCAAGAGACCCGAGAGGGAGGGAGGATGCAGGACTTGTCTCCTCAATTGAGTTTCACCAAGTGCATCTCAGCACTTCCTGGTAATTTTCTCAGCAAGATTTTGGAAGCGCTTTGCCATTTCCTTCTTCCTGGATGGTTCTTTTGACTTGTTTATGATTCTGTGACTCAACCAGGCCCAGATTAGCCTTTCAAGATCAGCCAAAAGTTGCTCCTCACATCTGGGTAGGTTAAAATTGGGTCACAAATGTTATGACAGTGGAATTAAGAACTTCTGAGTCCAGAGTATATGAGGAAATACCATCTGTCTGGTACCAAGAAGATTGTGAGTGGTTTGGAATCATTGTTGTCGAGCCATTGATGGCAGTTCATTGCAGGTGTTCAGAATAAATCCTTCTCCAGCTCAGGCAGGAGCTCCCCCCCCCCAACCCCCAAATAAACTAGCTGTCTTCTCTTTTTGCCACCTGTCAGGCTGGTTTTGGAGAAGACGCAGAAAGAACCACTATCAGGAAGTGGCAATCTGCCATGATCAGGCTCCTTCACAAAGAGCTCCTTCTCCCCCCGAGAATGAAACAGAAGATGAGAGTCGATCTCCCTTGTTGCCTAAATCAACATCAGAGGTGAGTGTGGCTGTTTCCGGCTATTGCTGCTATTGAAGAGACAAACCTCCAGGCTTCAAATAGACCCAAGAACCAAGACCATCAAGGTTGTTGGGGTGGGGAAGTACATTTTTCCAAGGTAGTCATGGATTGTTGGCTTCCTGGGGGCTCCTCTGATGGGCTGGTGTGCAGTGGAAGATCCAGCTCAGCTCAGCCTCACTGGCCCCTCAACTCCTAGGCAGGAGAGGGAGGGGGAGAGAGGGGGGGAGAGAAAGAGGGAGGGAGAAAGGGAGGGAAGGAGAGAGGGAG